ATATATATATATGTGTGTGTGTGTGTGTGTGTGTGTGTGTATATACATACACACACACATATGCCAAAGCAGCTTTTTAAATTGTCATTTAAATTGTTCATATAAAATATTTAAAATGTATTCTATTTCAGATTTATTCAGTTAAACAAGTTTTTTGTTCACAATAACAACACTCGCTTGTCTAAATGGGGTCATTCCATAGACTTCTATTGTTTTTATACTGAGCAGTTAGAAATAACCCTCACAGAAAACCTTTGCATTTTTACTTTTTATTTTATATATTTTTCTACAAATAAGGATATCGTCAAGTGTCTCCAAAGGGAGGGTTTGTCAGTTTTAGCTCATTTTTCACAAACCATGATTAAGTTGACACACACACACACACACACACACATTCATTCTTGTACAGCTATCTTTGTGAAGACATTCATTGCCTAACCCTAACCCTAAATTTAACCTAACCCTAGCGTTAACTTCATTATAACCTTGACCCTAAAACCAAGTCTTAACCCACAAACAGCCCTTTAAAGGGGTGCCAGAAAGTAAGGACCCTCTTGGTCCTCACTCCAATGGCTAAACCTCAAACTGGCTCTCACAAAGATAGAAGTACAAGTACACACACACATACATACACACACACACAGACTTTGAAGCACAGTGAGTGAGCTGTGACCTTTAGAGTCAGATTGGGACATTCAATACAATACTACAGTTGTGTCAGAAATAGGAACACACAGACAATTCACTCTTTCTGTAACACACACACAATACACACAAATTCTCTCACTCTCTTACACACGTACACAATACTATTACAGTGATGAACACAATAGTGCTAATGTGTGGTTTGAAATAAATCTAAATAATTTGTGTGCTCCATAAAAAATAAAAAATAAAAATCTAACTCAGTATTTTTGTCTTCTTTTCCAATATAAATATCTACACATTCTTAAATCATGATACACATACTTGAGAAGCAAATTTACTTAGATATTAAGTCTTGTTTTCCAAATAAACAAGTTCTATTTTTCTTATCCCACTGAATATCTGTTGTTTTAAGCATAAAGTCGTTTAATTTGGATATTTTTTTCTGAAAACAAGGCTCTTATACCATTTTGCTTCTTAAATATCTTGATTTAAGAATGTTTAGATATTATCACTGAAAAACGACAAAAATACTAAGAAAATCATTTTTGCATGGACTTGGAATAGCACACATGTATGGAAAAAACAAGCCCAAGGGTACTATTTTTAATTTTGTGTGAAATATCCCCATACAAATATTTTGTTATAGACCTATGTCAATTTGTCCTGTAGCTCTAAGATTTTCTCAGGTTCAGCTGCCAGGAAACACACAAACTGACACAATGTACCTTGAATGCGCTGTAAACGGCTTAACCCTAAAACTGGCAACGTATCCTGTGGGATACAAACATTTGAGAGGCTGTGGGGAGAGGCAGGGAAAGTGTAGGTCTCATTTCTTGATTTCATGTTGAAAGGGTGCTTGTTGTGAATATTTAGATATATTGACTTTGCTCATACATTCTTTGTTTAGCTCACGGGCAGCATTTAAAACTGCATGGCCGCCTGTAGTGGGAAATCTACTCACCCTCCGATAAAAGCTGTTTAAAAAGCTGTTATTCAGCATTAGTGTATTAGGTTTACATTGAAATTGTATGAATTAAATGCTTACTTTTTTTGTAATCTGTCTCTAAATGTTTGTATCTCAGGGGATATGTCGCCCTTTTAGGGGTATAAATCAAGATATAAAAACATATAGGGCCTATATATACTCTCTGATTTTGTGGTTTGTGTTTTAGAAAATCAAATCTTTTTGTAATCTTGACAAAACACATATTCGTTGGAAAGGTCTGACAGTCAAGGTTCCATATTTGGTGACTGTTTTGTAATAGAAGTGATATTGTACTATTTTTAATTTTGTGTGAAATATCCCCATACAAATATTTTGTTATAGACCTATGTCAATTTGTCCTGTAGCTCTAAGATTTTCTCAGGTTCAGCTGCCAGGAAACACACAAACTGACACAATGTACCTTGAATGCGCTGTAAACGGCTTAACCCTAAAACTGGCAACGTATCCTGTGGGATACAAACATTTGAGAGGCTGTGGGGAGAGGCAGGGAAAGTGTAGGTCTCATTTCTTGATTTCATGTTGAAAGGGTGCTTGTTGTGAATATTTAGATATATTGACTTTGCTCATACATTCTTTGTTTAGCTCACGGGCAGCATTTAAAACTGCATGGCCGCCTGTAGTGGGAAATCTACTCACCCTCCGATAAAAGCTGTTTAAAAAGCTGTTATTCAGCATTAGTGTATTAGATTTACATTGAAATTGTATGAATTAAATGCTTACTTTTTTTGTAATCTGTCTAAATGTTTGTATCTCAGGGGATATGTCGCCCTTTTAGGGGTATAAATCAAGATATAAAAACATATAGGGCCTATATATACTCTCTGATTTTGTGGTTTGTGTTTTAGAAAATCAAATCTTTTTGTAATCTTGACAAAACACATATTCGTTGGAAAGGTCTGACAGTCAAGGTTCC